TTTTGTTAAACTACTGCAGCTTTGCTTTGTGTTCTTATTATTCCTTCATGAAATTTTACTTTATGAGCCATACAGAGTTCTCATCTGCTGTCCACTTGAGCATTTAGATAATTATTTTCTTGGTTGAGGACCTTTGTGATTCTGTTGATAGCTGATCGAGGACTGTTGACAGAATAAAACTTTTCATCCTTCCTCGGGTTGGAGAATAAAGCATAAATTTAAACTGCCAGGACGACCTTGGGGATAAGCACATTTTATGGGGATATTACTTTAAATGAAAGAAAATGTGATTTATTTACCTGCTTCCATCTTGACTATTATAGTGTATTATACAGAGTCTACGCAACATAAGTCACAGGACCTGAATCGAAGGCAAAAAAAATCAAATTGAAGTAACCTCTGATGATAAAAATAAATGTGTTTATGTGCAAATGTGCAAACAGAAGTGATGTGACCATGATGGAAGCAAACAGAACATAAATATTAGATTACATGTTGCACACAGGCTTCATTTTAATTTGTCACTTATGAAGTTTTTTTTAATAATGGATCTTAGGGGGATTTAAAATACAATGCACAAACATTTAAAGATGGTAATCATACAATTTCTATATTTTAGCTTTAGCACATGAACACGGCAAGGTACAAAATGAGGAATAACAAAATCTGAACTGATTTGTCAAATATTATAGCATAGTGATTTTTGCACAATAAATGACAATTGATGCAGATATGTCATGTTACAGAAAATAGTTAAAATGCTTCCAATTGATTTCAAAAGACAAGAATAGCAGGGTAGAAGATCCAAATGACATGTTTACTCCCTCAGTAGCTGATATAGCTTTTGACATCTGGGTCTTGAGGGGAGTGCATTCACTGTGGGATCTCTATATGTTGATGGTAGATTTGCCTCTTTTGAACAGCTGGTACAGAAGTTTAATATCCACAAGTCACGGTTTTTCAGATATTTGCAGCTGAGACATTTAGTAAGGTCTAACTCTGATTGTTTTCCTTTGTACCCCTCTAAACATTTTGTGGCTAAGATTTTGAAATGTAGGTCTGATACCAAGGGGGCCCTTAGTAAGAGCTATACACTGCTCAGTTCATACCACGAGTCCATTTTGGACTCCCTTAAACTGAAATGGGAAACAGACATGGAGGAATCCATATCAGACGCAATCTGGAGAAAGATCATTCAGAACATTTGTTCATCCTCAATCTGTCTGAGACATGCTGTAATTCAATTCAAGGTGGTGCACCGGCTGCACTGGTCCAAAGACAAGCTGTCCAAGATCAAAGCCGACCTGGACCCCGCATGTAATCATTGTAAACAAACTCCAGATATACTCTTGCGTACGTTCTGGACCTATCCCAAACTGTGGACCTTTTGGCAATCTGTTTTTGACACCTTCTCTGGGATATGTGGAAAAACTGTTCACCCATCAGCACTCCTCTCACTGTTTGGGTGGTCCCTGTGGATATGTCCTTCAGCAAGTACGAGAAGAATGTGATTGCTTTTGGCTCTCTCCTGGCCAGAAGACTTGTCTTGTGCAATTGGAAGGACCCACACACCCAAGAATATGTACACAGGGTAAGAGAGGTGATGTATCATAATCATCTCGAACAAATAAAATATACCTGAAGAATTCTGTTAAAAGATTTTGGGACACTTGGCGGTCTTTTTATGTTATATGTGGGGGACATGTCAATGCCTATGAACCAGTAATTCTTTTTAATTCGTTTATGTAAAGTATGTGACTGATCCGGTGTGGGAGGGAAGGGGTGGCAGGTTTTTATTTTATTTTTATTTATTTTTTTATGTTCTTTGTGTTTTATATGTTCAAAATGAAAAGTTAATAAAAAGGCCGATTTAAAAAAATAAGATCCAAATGACAAACTTGGACTCCTTTTCTGCCAGATAATATACAGTTATAATCTGACAGAGCATTTTCCATATGTTTAAGCCTCTTTTGCATTCATACTACAAAAACCTGCTGCAAAATCATTTTCACAGCCAAACGGCTAAAAAAGGAAAGATGGGAGAAAAAAAAAAAATTGTCGTAAGTCTTGCACTGTGTCAGATGTTTGAGCTGTCAGCAGTAACTGCATTTAAATTCACCTATAGCAAACATCTGCTGCCATCTGGTCTAAGCTCTGCAGGGTTTCTGCCTTTGGAAGTGAAATGTACACTCTATACATGCCAAACATGGGAAGAACAATTCAAAACCTGCTGCTTCATGTTGTTTGTTAGTCTCTTAACTAATTCTGCTACGTCCTATTGTCTACAGGAACTTCAGGTACACGGTTTCACAGCATCAAAGGATTGCTGCTATAACAAATAGTGTTTTAAAGTGAACCCCAGTGAAGGAAATGAGACATACACAGCCGATGGTTTAAATGAAACGCAGCAATTTCACCTGCCAAATGACTCAGTCACTGCATACGTTTGCAGCTTTTTTTAAGAGATTTAGAGTATCTGCAATTTATGCTAATACACCATGAGCACCTCTGATGTTATTTTAAGTGCAATAGCTCCAGCAAAAGCCTATACATTTCTATATCAACCCCTCCCTGGCAAGCAAATGCCTGCGTGGGTTTTCTGAAAGGATACCTATATCGTATGTGGTGCTAGATTACAGGATTTGCATTTAAAAGGGTGTCAGTTGTGGCAGCTGGATGAAACAGGTGAATGCAATCACAGCAGTTCAACAAACGATCTGTAACATGAGTCATACTGGGTAGCCTGAATGACACGCCTGCTTCTGCCCACCAAAGATTCTCTAATACCCCCAGCTTGAACCTTTTTTTAAGGCATATCATATGAAGGGATACATGCAGCAGTGAGGTTATATATCGAATAAACCTTGTAATGTGTTGTCATTAATATAGTGCTAAGTCCATTTTCTCTTATTTTGGGGAAAAAAGATCACTGCAGGGGTACATTAAGGTGCATCAAAAGGCTTTTTGTTTTTAGAAGTTAAAGCTTTTATGTGTAAAAACCACGTAATCAAACGAATCTGTTGGCTACCAAATGGAATTATTCAAACCCAATAAATGAAAATGAACCTGGTTAAGTATCTCAGCATGTCCAAAGTTCAGTGATGACACAGTTTTTCAGGACTGAAAGAAATAATGGATTTTGTGTTGATCTTCGGAGCATGGAGTTGTTTGTCCCAGGGGCCTGCCAGCGTTAAACTCAGATCTGCGCACTGTGACTCGCTCAAGGCTGTGTGTCTGTGGTGATATTAAAAAGAAATATTGCTTCATAAATCCCTGCTGCGTTGCTGCCATGACTCCTCTTAATGCGGACTGCTGCTGGAGTGTGAGAGGGGAAATAGGATCATTTTGTTTTTTTTTATTCCATTTGTCCTTCGACTGGAAAGCCAATTAGTGTTGAACATAGAAACCTATGATCATACGCAGCAAAGAGACAGAAAGACACCTTGGAGGACGATGTTTACTCTTGCTGTTGCTTTGAACAATTTGCTTCTTCTGCTCATAGATTTGCTTAATGGACTTAGCAGGGACAGTGCCCAATGTCAATACAATATATACGAGCATACTCTATACACGTATCATTTGAAATGTAATTTGCAATTAAAACTCTGTTGTGGCCATCTGGAGAGTGAAGACC